TTTAGAAGGTAGAAAAGAAGGGTTAAGGGAATGAAAGAAGGGTTCAACCCTAAAGGGTTGAAGAGTTTTTATAAGATCAATGCCAGGTATTTGGTTTCTGTATACTATTAAGTATCATTATTTTTCTTCATACTTTATATTTACTATTACTATTATTATTTTTCTTTGTAATTCATATTTGTTTTTATCTTTATAAGTAAAAGTTGAAACATAAAGAAGTGACCTTAGAATGAAAGCAGGTAAGATTTTGGTTGACTTTGTGGAAGAGCTCCTTGACCACTAGTGTGAAAAGTAAGTACTCAGTTTGTGATTCTCAGCATCAATTGGTCTAGATATGCCTGCAGTCAGGGATCTGATCAGAAACTTGCTCAAAGGCCCTTCATTTCTGTTACTCAGTGTGCCTGTATTGATCTTATGTTTCAAAGAAAGGTATAGCTTTAATTTCATGAGAATGAAATATCCTAATTAATTTGTTGTGCATGGCACAGGACACGGGCTTCTTGTTGCTCTTTTCCTGGTGACTCAAAAGAAAAGAAAACTCTAGTAGACTCTGTGGTATATTTAGGGACTTAGTCCTTTCTACTTTGTAAGGAAAGTCTAGAAAGAAAGGTCTAGAAAGAAAGAAAATACATAGATCTATTAAAATATAATTTAAATCAGAATATATTGAATATGTGATGAATTAAATTTTTACTAATAGGTTTTTTGTTTTTTGCTTTTGTTGTTTGTTTGTTTTTAATACTGTTTGCTTACTAGAGAATGGGAGACAATTAAATTCCCAAGAATCTGGATCTCAACATGCTATCAGTAGTCCCAGCTATTGTAGTATAACATTGACAGCTACCATTTATTGAGGATTTGTTGTTTGCCATGCCGTGTGAGAAGTTCTTTACTTGCATTAGTTCATTTCATGCTCATATGAGCTCTAAGATATAGGTCACTGGCTCTCTTTATGTTTTCAAGATCTTTTTCTGTGCTGTATAGAATTTTTGAGAGCCCTAGAGATCTTTTGGTTATGTAGTTTAGATCTATCAATAATCACCACACTAGAGATTTTTTAAAGTTATTAGTTTATTTTAAAAGAACAGTAATAAACTAATTGCATTTTGATATTTTAAAAATAAAAAAACCCTCATGGTTTTCAAAAGAAAAAATTAGTTAAAAGAGTGGCGTTGTTTTGCATTTTTTTGGCAACTCTTTTCAGGGTCTGACTTCAGCAGCTGGATTCTCATCTGCTTTGCATCAGTCTGTTGTGATATCATACTTCATGTGGCCCCCAATACACTTCATTGAATGCTCGTGAGCAAATGAGAGTATAAAGGGCAATAGTAATATTTTGAAAATAGTTTTGACCTTGCTGGAACCATGAGGATATCTTAGGGGCCTGAGGGTACCTGGGCTATACTTTGAAAACCACTGATTTAAGAAGTATAATCAGTCAGTTCAGTTGTTCAGTCATGTCCGACTCTTTGCAGCCCCATGGACTGCAGCATGCCAGGCTTCCCTGTCCATCACCAACTCCCAGAGCTTGCTCAAACTCATGTCTGTTGAGTTGGTGATGCCAGAAAGTATTATAATTTTTTACAAATAAACATCATTGCTTACTTCTGATGTTATAGCTAATAAGTATCCATTTTTCTTTGTATTTTTTGCTCTCAGCTTTGACACTTAAAGGATCAATCCATAATTGTAATATCACTAAGTTCAGTGTAGTAGCTTCCTTTATTTTAGGTTCTAATTTGGAGTCTTCACTAGAAGATTTTGGAAACCTATTTAATTTTGCATTAGGGGGCACTTTTTTAATGTTAACTGTGGGGGGCAGTTTTCAACCAGTTCAATTCTAGCATAGTATCTTTGAATGTGAAAGGCAGTACATTAATATTTAACTTAATATTTCCAAAACTTAGAAATTAATTCCAGGAGAAAACTGCTAAAATTGTATGTAGCACATAGAGGTTCTAGCTTAATAAGTTCCTTCATATTCACTGCAGTCTTATCAAATTCTTTCTGGAAATGATGTTTACCTACTTTAAATGTTTTCATGATCTAATCTTTCATAGGTAGGATTCTTTATTTGGGGAAAAAAAGAGCTTCCTTGCTTGAAATCCAAATAATTTGTTTACTGTTCTATATCTTGATTATTTGTCATGTATGATATAGAAATAACCTTCCTCTTTCCTTAAAATATTTTTATGTGAAGTTTCAGATAGAACTAAAACTCAGATATTATAATTGCTTGCTGACTCTAGCTTGTCTGAAGTATTTACTGATTAATGGAGGGTCATTGGTGATTAGAGAAATCTTTTCCTTTGAAAGATTATGATCTTCATTCTATGATCATTCATATCTATGATTATGAATGCTACAAAAAAGATAATGGTAGTATCAGTACTAAGTATTTAGACAGTTTAGCTTCTGTGTGAGACCTTATTGCGGAGAACAGATTGCTCTGTCCTACAATTATGGAAATAATTTTTGACTTAATGAAGTTATACAGTGTGTAAATGGATGTATTTGATTGAGGTATTAGGAGAAATTCTAAAGTAAAGGGTTTTATAAGGTTTTATAAAGGGTTTTGAAGTAAAGGGACTGCAGCCATGAAATTAAAAGATGCTTGCTCCTTGGAAGAAAAGCTACGACCAACCTAGACAGCATATTAAAAAGCAGAGACATTACTTTGCTGACAAAGGTCCGTCTAGTGAAAGCTGTGGTTTTTTCAGTGGTCAAGTGTGGATGTGAGAGTTGGACTGTAAAGAAAGCTGAGTGCCAAAGAATTGATGCTTTTGAACTGTGGTGTTAGAGAAGACTCTTGAGTCTCTTGGACTGCAAGGAGATCCAGCCAGCCCATCCTAAAGGAAATCAGTCCTGAATATTCATTGGAAGGACTGATGCTGAAGCTGAAGCTCCAATACTTTGGCCACCTGATGCAAAGAACTGACTCATTGGAAAAGACACTGATGTTGAAAAAGATTGAAGGTGGGAAGAGAAGGGGACAACAGAGGATGAGATGGTTAGATGGCATCATTGACTTGATAGACATGAATTTGAGCAAGCTTTAGGAGTTGGTGATGGACAGGGAAGCCTGGCCTGCTGTAGTCCGTGGGGTCACAGAGAGTTGGACACGACTGAGCAACTGAACTGAACTGAAAGGGTTTTGTAGGGTATTTGGAATTTTTACACATTAATTTTTAATTGTCAAATATTTCAAGCACATGGCCATCCATATTCCCTCTTGTTAAATTGACTAAATATTAAGACTGCTTAATATCTGCTTTAGATATTTATTAAAAAGAAAAAAACAACAGTTTCTATATGATTGACGATTCCGTCCCATCGGCCCATTAACTTTCCTTTCTCTACTTGAGTACTTGAGTGGTGCTTATCTTATAGTTGGTGCATGTTGTTTCTCATTTGAATTAAAAAACTCACTATATATTTGTGTCTTTTTAAATAATATATAGTTAGTATTTTTAGAATTTATTAAATAAAACGTATATATGCAGTGTGTATATATATATGTGTATGTGTGTATAGTTTTGTAGCTTGCTTTTTGCCCTCACCATTGTTTTCCAGGTTTATCCAGTTTGATAACTGTGGATCAGTTTCATTCATTTTAACTGATTTGTAGTATTCGATCTTGCAAATAAACTTCATGTTTATTTCAGTGTTGATGGATGCTTAAATTGTTTCCAAAGTTTTACTCATTTAAATACGCTTGTACACATATTCCTATCCACAGGCAAGAATTTCTCTGAGGTTCATAACTAGAAATGAAAATGTTGGGTTATTGAGTATATATGTATTTGACTTTACTTGAGGTTGCTGGATTGCTTTCTGAAATGGTTATACCAATTTACACTGCCACCAGCAATAAGACTGTGCTTAGTTTAGTTCTGGAATTATGCACTTAGTTTTCAAAATCAGAAACTAAATTCACTTAGGACTTTAGTCTACTGTGTCTTTATGTGTTGGATATAGATGCCAGTAGTTTTTAAGTTGGACTTTTGGATATAGTCATTTGTATTTTGCTTTTTTTGGAATTACTAGTTTGTTGTCTAGAGGAATTCTTCTGAGGAATTCTTCTGAATTATTAGTAAACTGACAAGAAAAACACAAAAGTCATTCAGTTAAATATACTTGCATCCATATTTTCTTTAGGCAGCAATATTTTTGACTTGCCAGATCTGATATATGCAATTGCACTGCCTAGACAAAGTTTCCATATTTCAGAGTAATTAATGGTTTATGTAGAAATTCTTTGACTATATTTTTGTTTGTCAAACATAATTTATTAGAAATCAAAACCATAATATTTAGGATAGGACCGAAATTAAGGTTAAGTTGTGGTTTGCTATGCATGTCACAATAAAAATCTGTCATAACAGAACCCTATAAAAGGGGAGATGGGAATAAATACTTTACAGCTCTTCTGCTATCTGGCACCATTCTTTAATGTATTCTAAGACTGTAATAAAATTTTACTGGTTGATCATTTAAATGCAAGGTTAGAAATAAATTTGATGATCCATCTGGAAAAATAAGATTGGTCAGTTTTTAAAACTACTCTTGACCTTTCAATTAGCATATCAACTTATAGTAGACCAAACAAAGCAGCTTCAGGCTGTAGTTAAACAGCTTATTTATAACAGAAAGTTACTGAACACAAGGTTCTCTCACAGATTAAAAGTTTTGTAATGTATTTAGAATGTTCAATTTATTTAATTTATTAAGAAATCAAAAGGAACATAGAGTTCTAAACATCGTTCTGACAGGTCTGTTTGCTTTTATTTCCATTAAAAGTATTTTAAAACCTTTGATTTAATAGCGAGAATCAGTAATATAAGTCACCTTCTTTGTTCTAGGGTAAACAGAACGCAAGCTTTCTGCAGTTCCCTTGATCAATGAGAAAATGCCTTATAGCAAAACCACATGGAGAGAATGTAGCTGTAGGTGATCCCCTGAGAGTTTTTTGATTGGAGCAGAGAGTTTGGTATTGAAAGAAGAGGGAGACAGACAGGTTATTTGAAAATATTCCCATTAGACCAAATGCTTATGTTGGAGCTATGCTACAACATTTTTCATGCAGAAAGTGCAACTTTATCAGTTTTAAAGGTTAAAGGCTATTCATTGCATGATTGTAATAATGTCTTTCTACTTTGGAAATCTTTGTGTACTTCTGCACTCCATTAACCAGTTGCCCAGAAATTTCATTTATTCACAGGCTGCTTGTCAGTCCTTCTAGGATTTTATTTTGAAAATACATTGTTAGAAAATTTATCATTTAGTTCTTAAAGTCAGTGCAAATGCAATACATATTCTTCAGCTAGTATTCACTTGTCAAGTTTATAGCTAGCAAAAGGAGAGATAAGTTTGATAATTTGATAACGAATTATTGATATATGTACCTGTTAATGATTATCTTAGGAATTCTAGTATCACTAGATGAACAATCTCAACATTTACCTTGCTAATCAGTTTGATGTACAAATTAAACTTTGTACATACTCATTTTGGTGCAATTTAGTTAAAATACTCATGGTATAACATGAATATGTGCTTAATTTTGAATATCTCAGCAGTTTGCTTTGAAGTTTTCATTCAGCCAAACTGTTAGGAAGCTTGAGATTTCAACCTCCCTTTCCTTAAATTTAAAAAACAAGCAACAAAGTAGAAATATTTTAGTGTTTTTCTGAAAGAGGAGAAGCAAAAGTAATTGTTTTAAGAAGATTCTAATTGAAGAATTAAAGTGCCATGGTCTTGGGAAGGTTGGCTTGGTCCTGGCGCTGCTCTGTGGCAGTGCAGCCCCAGATGCCTGGCCAAGCATCCCTTACCGACATCTGGAACCAGTTGCAATACATCACTGTCAAAACTGCTCTCTATACGTATCTGCATTTACACATTAGTTACCCACGCAGCACTCATCAAAAAAGCTGAACAATCTTGACATGGTGTCCCTTGTGGAACTGCAAAGGTGAACCGAAGTTGGGAGGCAGTGTCTCGCGTCACTGTCTGCTGAGCTCTTACAACAGGAAGCCTGATTAAAAGTGAAAGGAAAAATTTCTCAGTTGCCTCAGCTCTGTAGACCTCAGTATAATTTTTTATTTACAAAAGGGATTTTTTTTGTGTTATGTAAAGCAGATGTATTATGAGCACCAAACTGATTTTATTTGTTTAGAAATGGGAAAACTATTTTCAGCTTTTAGTTGAAAAAAAGATTGCTTTGTATATTTCTTAGATTTACTATTAGCTGTATAATTTCTTTTATGTATCATTTTAAAGAAAATTAAAAAAACAGAGCCATAAATTATAGATAAAATATTCATAACACTGTGTCACTTTAATTGAATAATAGTATAAAATTTGAAACAGTTGACCTTTGCTCTTACATTGGTGATAGCAATGTTTGTACTATTAATTTTCAAAAAGCTGAATAATAGAAAAGGAAAAATGGTTATTTGTAGATGTTTGGTATTGTATATTTAAATGTGATTTTGAAAAAGAAATAAAAATTTTGACAAAAAATAAATATTGGCCCTTTATATTAAGAACTATTCAGGAGTCTTTGCAACCACATCTCCTACAATAATATTATTACTAATAGTTATGATAATAATGGCTGACATTTACTGGACTTTTTTTAATGTACTAGAAACAGTCTTTCTGCTTTATATGGATTGTCTCATTCAAACTTAATAAATGGGGGTACTCTTTCTCCCATTTATTGGAAGGAGAACCATGCTAAAGGAAGTTAAATGACTTGCCCAAATTCACACAGTTAAGTGGTGGACCTAGATTCAGCCTCCTAGCAGTCTGATCTGAGAGTTCACACTAGTTTTTTTTTTTTTTTTTTTGGTATCTCTGTTTCTTATTTATTGATTTGTATGTTTTACTGATATTATAAAAATTTTCAAACATATCAAAAAGTAGAGAGCACAGTGAACTCTTGTATAAAACCATCAACCAGACTTAACTGCCATCAATATCTTATTCTTGTTTCATATGTCCTCCCACAACTTTACTTCCTGCCAGAATATTTTAAAGTTAACTACAGACACCATGTTATTTCTCCTGAAATACCTAAGTTTGCTTTTAAAAAAGATGTTTTCTTCCTTATAAAAACTACAGTGCCATTTTCACACCTCATAAAATTAACAGGAAGTTATTCAGTTAATAAGACTTTCTTAATGTCATCTAATATCTGTTTAGGTTTTCTGATTGTCTAACTTGTCTTTTTTACAGTTGGGTTGTTTGGATTGGGATCCAAAAATGTTCATTCACTATATTTGATTGTTATGACTCTTAACTGTCTTTTACACTAGAACAGATACCCCTGCCCCCTCACTGTGCTTTTCCATATACCGTTGGCTTTTTGAAGAAACCAGATGGAAACCAAATGGTTATCCCGTAGACTGCCTCACATTCTGGATTACTGATTCTTTTTCTGTTTTTAAAAAATTGAATAGTGAATTACTGAATTACACCTGATGTGAAGAACTGATTCATTGGATAAGATCCTAATGCTGGCAAAGATTGAGGGCAAGAGGAGAAAGGGACAACAGAGGATGAGATGGTTGGATGGCATCACTGACTCAATGGATGTGAGTTTGAGCAAACTCTGGGAGGTAGTGAAGGGGAAGGAAGCTCACAGTTCATGGGGTCACAGAGCCGGACATGACCTAGCAGCTGAACAACAACAACAAAGGGATTAAAATGATAATTTCCAGTTATGTTTTTCCTTCTTCATTTATTAGCCAGAACTCTTTCAGAGAGCTTTATTTGATCCACTAGGGCTGTTTGGTTTCCCTGAAATACAGTTCAGGCAGTATGAAATGCTTAATTCTTTCCCTTTACTGATCAGTTTCCAGCATAAGGAGGTAGTGCCTTAAAATCCTCCAGTGGTGTATACACTTCCACTTGTTTCTTTTGCTCACTCTTTCTTTTAGTTGTTATTATGAAGTCTTGGCTTTTTGTATGTGCAGTGTGTTTTAATCAGTTGCATTATACTTTTTGATGCTGAAACTGCTCCACATTTGTCCTACACGAGCCCCTTCTGTGTCCTTTTGACAAGATTTTTTTTTTCCTAACTTCTTACTTTCTGGCACAACAAAAATGCCAGGCTCACCTTGATAGTCCCTGCATTAACCTTGGAATCTGCCATTTCTCCAAAGAGTTGTGGTTCTTTTTATTGAGAAATGATATGTTAAGACCACAATATGGGTACTTATTGCTACTGGATTCTTTGCTTTTAGGAAAAGGGGCAGGGGAGAAGTGAGTTCTCATTGATAATTCTAATTCAGATTTGTACTTCTTAGCTAGGTTAACTTGTTACCTTATTTGATCTTATACTTCTTTATGTTAAATATTAGATTCCTAACAGAATTAACATATTATTTATTTTATCTTATATTTCTAATGGTTTCAAAATAACAATCTAGACTATTGAATGAAGTTAAAGTCCTCTTTGCAGAGTTTTGGGGGGAGGGCCCTCAGAGTATATCTCTCTGAAGATATTCAAGCCACTGTGAGATTGGGTTGATAGACAGTTATATCATTTAATTAGTCTTCAGTTTTTAAGTTTGTTTTCCTACATGACTTGGAACCTGAGCGGACTCCTTTCATCTCAGTAGTTATTCTCAGCCTTCACTTACCTAGGGTCCCACACAGCATTGGTCCTTTTCTCTGGGAGTGATTTTTGTTGTTGTTGTTGTTGAGTTGTGGATTCCATGGCTGTTCCTCTGTACTTTTTGCCGTTGCCATTGCTGTTAATGGATGTTTGGCCACACCTTTCTATATTCTTGGTTTCCCTGTAGGCTCAGACAGTAAAGAATCTGCCTGCAATGCAGGAGACCTGGGTTTGATCCATGGATTGGGAAGATCCCCTGGAGAAGGGAATGGCTGCCCACTCCAGTATTCCTGCCTGGAGAAAGAATTCCATGGACAGAGGAGACTGGTGGGCTATGGCCCATGGGGTCACAAAGAGTCAGACATGACTGAGCGACTAACATATTCTATATTCTAGGGTTTGGGGGAAGATTCCTTGTCACCTACTTTTGTTGAAGATGTCATGTGTAGGTTATTCTTCCCTGATTGCTCTGTCTGGTTATGATGATGAAATTTGGTGAGATTTAAAAAAATGCTGACACTGCTATGTTCTTATTTCTGAAAGTTCCAGAGTCTGTGTCACCTTAACTACTGTATGATTTTGCTTCTGTGATGCTCTGGTATACAGCTTGACTTAGAAAGTTTTCCTTTGAGCTTTATTGTTGGGTGCTAATTATTGAGGTATGATTAGGAAGAGGAGTAAACAGAGGGAAGGATTTAATATTTACAGCAGTACATTCCTGCAGTGTGCCAAGAGTGCTGGTGATGATGAAAATATTACATTGTCATGCTGAATCCTTATAATACCACCATAAATTTGTGTTGTCTTGTTTTTACAGGTTAGAAAACTGAGGGTTAGCAAAGTTAAGTAACTTGCCTAAGAGTATTTGGCTAGTAAGTGACAATACTGGTTTCAAACTGAGACTTATCTGGCTCCAAGGCCTGTGCCTTTCTATTTAGAGCATACTTATTTTCTCAGAACTTTTTCTAACAAGGCTTGCATAGGCAGCTTTCTTTACCAAAAAGTTTTAGATTGGGGCATAAGAAACAAATCTACCTTGTCTACACTCAGGTTAATGCTCTGAAAACAAGTGTGCTGATTATAGGATATCTGTAAAGAGTCTTCTATTATTTTGTAAAACAGTAGCTTTAAAGGTTGAGAATGATATTTAAAAGGCACCTTGTTCTGGGTTCTTTTTTAAAGATGAAGGAACTAAAGCACATACTACTATAAAATGTATGTGACTTTCAGATTCCTACGAAAGTGCCAGAATGGCATTGCATGATGGAACACGGTCCTGCCTGCCACCTGGACTCAGCAGTTCTGAGTCACCAGTGAAAGCTGGCTTTGCTCACGTCCTCACCTGTCTTGGCATTGTGCCAGGAAGCAGTGTCAGGCCTACCCAGTAGTGGTGTATGGAGATGTGGATCCACTTTGCTACAGATGAGTTTTAAGATAGGTATTTTACAGTTCTGTTATCAGCTTCT